TCCACAGCCCTTTTTCTGGGAAATAGGCAGATTTGCATACTTCCTAATTCCCTGCTCATTCCAAAAATAGTAATATTTTGTATTACTGTACACTTGGTTTGAACTTTTATTTTGCTTACATAGTAATAAAATCAGTTTACATAATAATTCTCTCATTCCCTTGACAGTCCTTATTGCTTAGCCCTGCTGGTTTTTGTTACCTTAGATGAACCATTAATTCGAATCCAATGTTCTTGGCAGGAGTACAGTCACAAATGACAGTGTCATACATCTGTGCTTACTGAGGAGGAGTGTCTCAATCTTAAAATGTGATCAAATTTAGATGTGAACTCCAAATAAAGTCAGTCTTAGAAAACAATTTCAGATATAGTCTGTTGTTGCAATATACAGGAGAATAAATTCAAAATTTAATGTTCACAGAATAGAACTGCAAGTCTCTTTAGATGCCTAGGCATTAATATTTTCTAGACTATTCTGTTCACTTTTTGGGGGCAAATTATCAGCCTATACTTTCTGTCTGTGCAGCACTGTGACAAGGGTCCTGCTCAGTGGCCAGGCCTGCAGGATATAATGGTGATAGAAACAGGAACCCACACAGCTGCTGCTGTACCAGCACTCACATTTTCACTCCTTATTTCTTTTTACTGCAAAAAAACATCATGGTCATTGTTGAAAAAAAAGCTTGAGTTGTTCAGCTGTGAGATGTAGGGAAGGTTCCTTCTCACAAAGAAGGAAATCTTTATTGGCAGAAGAGTCCTACTGATGGATGACAAGAGTGAGGTTGCCCTGTTGGGCTTTGGTCCCAAGAGAGCTTGACTTGATGAAAAATGGCAAGGCTTGTTTCAGACTATCATCTTCTGTTTGGGCATTGTGGTGTTTCAGTCATTAGAAAGGTCCTCAGTTCATCCTACTTTTCATAAACAGCCACAGCAGAGTGAGAGCTGTCAGCCCTGGACCTGATGGCTGTGGTGGCTTCCAAGGTGGTCATGAGTGCCCAGAGATCAGATGTCACATGGGAGGCTGAAGCCATAGCCTGATATGTGTTTGAATCCAGCACTTTTCTCAAAAGAAGAGATTTTGTCATCCACTCAGCTTGGTCATGGCCCTTCTCTGCTTATTTCCTGTGCCAGCTCATTTTGTCCTTCAGCCTCACAGCAAATTGGGCTGGGGCTGTCCTCTGCTCAGGGTGAGTGGCCACAGCCAGAACCTGTCTCTCTGCAGCCATTTCACCCATCTCCTGCTGAGCACCCTGCCAGTCTCTGTTCAAAGGGACAAGCCCACCCACTGCTGTCCTGCTTGCTTTTCAGCTCTGAAAAGCTCAGCAGTGTTGCCCTTTCTTTGAAGGCCCTCTAGAGATGCTTTCATGGCAGGGATAGAGCTGCAGAATCCAAACACCTGGAGATGAAACCTAGAGCCACACAACCCAGGACTGAGACAGCATGGAGGGAAAATAGCAAAAAGACTTTGTGAATTCCTTCCAGAGAAGTTAAAATTTTACTTTTGGGTGAGCAGCAGTATCAAGGTGCCTTGGGAAGTCTCCCTGCATGGCTGAGAGATGTTTCCAAATGTGTATCTTGGGTCTTGCTGCTGTTAGCTCCTTGGAGGAAGAGCTAAAGGCAGGATCAGACTTCCAGCAGCCTAGAGAAAATGCCTACCATTGCTTTAGCAGCTGTACAGAGGTAAATAAAGGGGGCTGCTGAGGCTTTATTGTCACACATGATGTTAAACACCATTTATTTTAAGGAAAGGCAAAAAAATCTGGCTGCCGTGCCAGGGCTGCCCTCAGAGGATGTTTGCGATTGTTTTCCTCGCTCTGCATTTGTCTTTCTAGCATCTGTCTTGGATTGACTGCCTTGGAAAAGGCATTTACAAGCAGAATTGAGAAGTGTACTTTAAAGCCAGATCTGGGTTGTTTGTTGTAAAGTAGCAGATAGATAGTTGGCCAGGCACCAAAAGGTCCAGACACTAATCTAATTGTTTACAGCTCATGGAGAGATTAATCCACAAGATTGGATGCCCTCATTTCCTTTACACATTACAATGAATGTGTGAAATGCCAAACCCCAAAGGGCAGTATGAAAGAAAAAATGGCTCCATTTCAGTGCAGTTATTGTTTCAAGTTTAGAAATATATTGATTTTCTTTGAGTTTTGATAAGAGTACAAATTCAAAATGCCTTGCTTAATATTACAGTATTCTTGTTTCCTAGGCTCAGTAAAACAAAACCATGTTTTCTTATTTTGGTGTAATATATAGTGCTCTGCAAAATCCAAATCAAACATAAGACATAGAACACATGGAACATACAGTCAAAATGGGCAACCCTATGTCCAAATGTCCAGGCTGGTCAGCTCTAGAAATCTTGGCTACTGTAAGATCCTGTACACTGGGAGAGAATAAACTCTGCAAAGGGAACCAAAGCAACCCCAGCCTTGCTTGGGTAACCAGTGGGGATAAAGCAAGCACAATGGAGGGGCTGCTGCAAAGCAGTATTTCTGTAAAAATAAAAATTTTACAGAATTTCCTGCTGCAAAGCAGTATTTCTGTAAAATAGGCTTTCTCTGAACTGAAAGTGGAGCTCAAGAGCGAGCAATACTGCAGGGCTGTGTCCCCTGTGAAGAGAGAATGCCGCAGTAAATGAGAACATGGGTGATGTGCAGGTGTGCTCCAGCCTCCCTCCATCCCCCTGGCAGGGCAGGGGAGCTGGGCCGTGCCAGGACAGGGTGCCCCACACCAAGGGTGCTGCTGGGCTGGGTTTGTCTGGGAAAAAGGGGAACTTTCATCCTCGGGGCACCAGTCATGCTGGGAGTGATGCTGACACCAGCTGCCCCTTCTGCCAGCAAGGGAAAGCACCGTGGCTTTGGGCAGAAGCAAGACTCAGGAAAGCTGTGTGGAGACCAGACAAATACTGCTGTGGTCTCACAGGTGTGTTAACCTCTGATGTGCTGGCTAAAGCAGAGAAGGTTTCTCGAGCAGTGTGTGTGCAGGATTGAAAGCTGCTGGGCCTGTGAGCTGCTCACGGGTCATTACAATAGTTTGTTGGGGAAATTTTGCTACCATTGCAAAGACTTTTCAAAAAGCTAATGGGATTGAGATATGTTTATTCTGATATTGCAATACCTGACACATTCAGGGGGCAGCAAATGAATGCCCAGAACTAGTCCTTGCAGTGTTTCTAATTCCTTGACTAAGCACGTCCTCATATATCACTTTATTTTACCAGCTTTTGGGAAGGAGAGAATATTTTGCTAGTTCAGACTTGTTTTGACTTAACTTTTAATAATACTAATCAGCACCATGTTGCCTGAAAGTCTGAATCTGACAAAAGTTTAGTTTAAATGGGCTGCTTTTATGAGGTCATGTGTAGACTCATTGCTCCTGAATCAAGATCATAAATGTGTAATTTTAATAACATTTGGTGAGACTAAGTATTTGCAAATCCTTGGAGAAATTGTTCTCTGCTGCATAGTTGAGCTGTTTCAGCCATGACGTGGCAGGGGCATTTCAAGATTTGCATGTCACTTACAATGCCATACCTTGCAAGGGAGGGTAGGGCAAGGAATAGTGCAAGGAATTCTTTTGCTTTGTAGTGCAGTATTTCTCCCAGGGTAGAGAGTAACTGTTGCTATAGGACACAAAATGAAACAACACACATGCTGGAACCTCCAAGGTAAAAAGAAGGGAAGTTGATTTTCTGACTCCAACATTTATAGACTTTCAAAAGTGACAGTGGATTGGAGGATGAAAGTGCCACCTCTCCAATCACACTGGACAAACCAACAGTCCATCAAATTTCTCCTCCTCCAGAAAAGAATGTAAAACAATAATTATTTATATAAAAGTGCGTGAGAAACTTCATTACAAGAATGTAAACATCAGAAGGCTTAGAAGAACTTAGAAGAGCAGGGCAACAAGTAACAGTACCAAGCATATCCAAAGCCAAGAATTCTGTGGTGCAAAAAACAGTTGGGGCATTGAGCTGAAACCTGGTCATCACTCTGTGTGAAAGCTAATTGAGGCCTGATGGGAGGGAGGTAATTGCAAAGCTGAGTTTCAGTCCTTTGTGATTATTTTTTATATATTGTGTGTCTTATGGAGCAGTCAGCACAGGAGGGCTTGCTGTAAGGTGCTCCATGTGTTGGTGTCTGTGAGAGAGGGTTATAGTGCAGGCAACCCCCAGTGAGGGGAGAGAATGATGCATCTGACTCCATCTTATCAGAAGGCTAATTAATTATACTGTATTATTCTAGATTATATTACATTATATCTAAACTGAATCTGCCAAGCACTCAACTGCACTGAATCTCGTGACTGTCACTGACAGTCCCAACACACACACACACACCTGGCCCTGATAGGCCAAATGTGGTGGTGTTCACAGGGGTCCCAGGATGAGAGAAGAGATGAGAATCTCGACTCCATGGTTTAGAAGGCTGATTTGTTATTTTATGATATATATTATATTAAAAGAAAATTATATATTAAAACTATGCTAAAAGAATAGGAGAAAGGATTTCATCAAAAGGCTAGCAAGGAATGGAATGGAATGGAATGGAATGGAATGGAATGGAATGGAATGGAATGGAATGGAATGATAATAAAATCTTGTGACTGACCAGAGTCTGAGACAGCTGACTGTGATTGGCCATTAATTAAAAACAACCACATGAGACCAATCAAGGATCCACCTGTTGCATTCCACAGCAGCAGATAATTATTGTTTACATTTCGTTTCTGAGGCCTCTCAGCTTCTCAGAAAAGATCCTAAGGAAAGGATTTTCCATAAAATGTGTCTGTGACAGCCAAGGAAACAAAACACCATCGCTGAGTAAACCATCTCCATATTGTATTCTACTTTGGCACAACACAGGCACAGCAAATAAGATAAGAATTGTTTTGATCATTATCTGAGGTTCAGAGAAAGTGAATCCCAGCACTATTTTTGAGCAGATTCTCTTGTTTTTGGGTGTGGGGAGAAAGCTGACGGTGCGTGTCACGCAGGGCGTGGAGCGCGCGGAGGAGCCGGGGCTGCGCAGCCTGCGCACGGCGCGCCGCCTGCAGCCGGGCATGGTGCTCACCATCGAGCCGGGCATCTACTTCATCCAGCCCCTCCTGGAGCAGGCCCTGCACGACCCTGCCCAGGCCTGCTTCATCAACAGAGACGTCCTGCAGCGCTTCCGGGCCTTCGGTGGGGTGAGTGTTCTTAGCAGATGGTTCGTTCATTGGTTTTCTCTTTGCTCGTCCTTATGATGTCTCTGAGCATTTAAGTCTTTTGGGACTCAAAACTTTTGGGACTTCTTACAACTTTTGGGACTTCTTACAACTTTTGGGACTTCTTACTACTCCCAAAAGTCTTACAGCTTTTGGGTGTTGTAATCTACTGCACATAGAGCTGTTCCTTGAAGCAGCACCTTGAGTCATTCGGACCATTTGACTCTGCAGGCAAACTGGGGGGGGTTTATTCTAATTTTTTAATGTGGTTTTTTACTTGTGATTAATGATAGACCCATATTTTCCCATTAACTGAAATATTCTCTGCCAGCACCATACGGTGGCTTGCCAGGTAAGTGTTTTTTCTAATGTGTGAAACATGTATGTTATGAAATATGAGACTGATTCTGTAGTCCAGAGTTGGCTTCTTTGACAGCAGCACAGTCCAGTGCTTCCTGCTGGGGCAGAAGAGCCTGATGCAGTTTAGGCTGGGGAGGCAGTAGATGGAAACAGTAAAAATTGCTCTTACAGGATTATTGACAGAATGTCAGGAAACCTGTGCCTTGTGGGAGCCTTCCCTGTTTCCAGAAGAATGGCTGATGGGGTTCCAGAGCCCCCATGCTCAGTGTGACAGCCTCAGGCAGCAGTGTGCACAGGAGGATTGGCCAGGGGAGGTAGAGCTGATCTGGGCAATCATTCCATGCAGCAGCTGCTGGGCAAGTGGAGGGGCCTTGGCTGTGCATGCTGTCCAGGGCAAGTCTCCCATTTAAAGCCACCACCCTCACAGAGCATCCAGCAGTTGCAGTGCTTCCAGTGGGCTTTCATTTCAGCAGGACAGGCCTTTGTAGGGTGCCACATTGTTCCTGCACAGGGAGATAGAGCAGGCAGCTGCCGTGCCCCATCCTCCCGTGGCTCTTCTGCCAAGTCTCACTACAACAGTCACTGCAGTGGTGGTGATTTTCTGGTAGGAAAAGTCACTCCTTAGGAATTGTCTGCTGCTGCCATTGACTGATTTATCCAGTCCAGCCTTGAGAGGGTGATTACTGTAGCACTTTGGTCTGAGCTGCCTTGCAACCACCAGCCCTGACAGAAAATTGTGTGTGTGTGTGCTATCCCCAGTCATGTGAGCCAACCAGGCTCCAGGGCAGCCACCCATGGTGTGGGTGCAGCCTTGTTAAGAGACTCAGGACTTTACCCTTGCTGATATTTAATTCACTGCTGAGGTCTGGGGCATTATCTGTCTCTGTGTTGTTTCTTTATCAAGATTTGCCAGCACACAGCTGAGGTGCTGGTGAACAGAAGGCAGCTAATTCTGCATTTTCTAACTGTGAGCACATACTGTGTGACAGCACACACTGAAATGTATTTTAAAAGAACACTGTGATGTGCTTGTGTACCTTCACACTGCAATGGAAACAGGTTTAACTGTCTCCATTTTCCATGTAACCATGCTCTGTGGGAGTTTTTCAGCATTTGAATTGATTCTTGGTGGGCTTTCCCTGAAATTGCTCAGCAAAGCCCACATTTTTCCCAAATGGCTGTGAATGCCCACTCCATTTCTGCAGCCTGAGGTGTGCCTGTGGCTCACCTTCTGCCTGTGGTTGCACACAAGAGGAGTGACAGCCTGGGATCTCTACCTTGGTAATAACTTGCTGGATCAGGCACTTTTGTTCCAGAGATTTCAAGCAAACTTTGTTCCTTCATTTTTGTTTAGCTTCCTGTAATGATGACTTGTAAGGAGAGCTAGCCAACAAACTTTGCTAAAAGAAGGGGCAGCCCAAAAACGATTGAGCAAAAATCTTAATCTCTGATCCCCCTGTGAACAATACATTTTACTTAGAGAGAAAAAAATAATAATACACACATACTCTGAGCCAGATGTTGTCACTTGATTTTGTCCAGGAGAAGAATGAAAATAAAATCTAAGACTGGAATACATCTGAATATTTCTGAATTCTTCACAAAAGCTGAATTATAGAGCAATCACAATAAGTTTTTCCATCTTTACCACTCTGACTTGATTCTGCATAAAAAGAAAATGCAATTTGTGCTGTGTAGAGTGCTCAGTTATGAACAAAATGCTTCATTCTAGTTTATCCAGAGTGAGTGAGTATTTCTCACAAAAGCATGCCAGAGAACTTTCTTTCTATGGGATTAAAAAAAGATCTTTTTTAATGTTTTTTAAAAAGCCCAGTTTTTTTACTGACAAATATTAATAGTACAGGGGCTGGTATTGGTGTCAGTTGTAGCTGAAGAGTTCACTACAGCCAGTCCAATCTTCCTTTAAGTGTAAAACACATTCTACAAAAGGAAATAAGTTGTGCATTTCTCTCTGCAGAGCTCAGCACTAATTAAAATGTTCTTAATTTGGTTTAGTGTAATTCACTTCAAAAACGAACTAACATTCACTGAAGTAACACCACTGTAATTCTAAGTAAGTCTGTCCACACTGGGAATTTGTGGATTTTTCATAAATTCACCTTGAATTCATGTCTTCTTTGGGCTTTCAGTAATTTTCTTGACTGTGACAAGTCTCTGCATTGAGAAGCAAAGCCCTTGTAGGGTGCCAGAAAGGGCAAGGCTGCAGCCATTGGCTGTAATTTGTGCTGGCTGGAGTTGGCCATGAGGAGATTGTTTGTGGAAGCTGCAGGAGCAGGGAAGGAGGGGCAGTGTGAGGTGCCTGTGCCCAGCTCCATCATCCTCCACCCTCCTGCTCACCTCAGCCTTTGGGGCTGTCCCTGTGCTCAGGAACCTCCTTTTCACCTCCTCAGGTCCCTGCAGGGGAAGCAGGCAGTGCCCAGGGGATGCTGCCTCTCTGAAGCCCTACACTCCTCATTTGACAGCTCTTGGGTTCAGTCCTTCACAAACTTCCTTGGCCAATTTTGGGACGTTTCAGTCACATGTGCTTCAGTTCTCCATCTGCAAACCCAAGGTCCAGTTTAGCAAGGTCAGAACTCCTGTGGGACAAGGGCTGCTGCTGGATCTGGCACAGTGCCTGGCCCAGGGCACCTTTGCTCTGCCTGGACTCTGCCCCACAGGCTCCTGAATAAACACAGATGTGCAAATACAGGGATGTGCATACAGTTGTATGTATTGCTCAGGAAAAGCAGCTGAATCCTCGGGGAAGGGGAAATGCTGACTCCAAATGCTGCCCTTTAGGGTTTGACATTTCCATTCTTCATAAGCTGATTACTGATTCATGCAGTTCATATGATGTTTTCTCAAAGACACAGTAAAGCCATTCAGGCTTTCTTTGGCCTTACACATTCAGTCTCTGTTCAGGCTTTATTTTCCCTAGGATTTGTAGAACTAGCACTAGACTTAATATCTGAAAACTATGCAACTTAGAGGAAATGCTGAAAGGCAGATGGGTGTTAAATGCATTACTTTCTTTCATTTACAGATTTTTCTCATTTAAAAATTAAACAGATTTACAAAGCCCAGGAACTTGAAGATCTGCTAATATTACAATATGTTTCAAAAGAGCAGTAGCTCCCTTTCTCAGAATAAATGCTAAACCAAATAAAGAGCAAGACATATAACTGCTTCTACCTTTGGTTCAGAGAGCCATAAAGTTGTGTCTGTCCTGATTTTATTTTTCAGGAGATTAGGCTCTGTTTCTGAGTTTATGGTGAATTTATACTGAGAAATGAAATTGTTTACTAGGCAATAAACGTTATGTTCATCTACTTTTTAATATTGCTTATTGTATCACAGTAATGGTGCTACACAGCATTTCTCCAGAAGTTTTCATAGGAAAGCAGTTGTCACAATGTACATACTTAACTTCCTTTAAAAGTTCTCCTAAGGGAAGTGATAGGTGTAGGCAACCCAAAAACTACTGCTAGGTGCTTATAAACCTTCTTTAGTCATTTTCTTTTCTCTAATTAGCATAATTAGGTTAAAGTAAGACCAGCTGTTTCTAACCTCTATTTAGCTTGTAGTTTAATGCTTGTTTTTGAGCCTGGATGAAGGGACTGGGCACCTGAGGCTTTTTTCCCATCTGTATCAGTTAATCTAATTAAATCCATGGCCTCATCCTACTGATATTGAGCCTCTTCTATAAAAATGTCAACATTTAATTGTGGACATTTAAAATAAAGGTTCTCTTGACGTGAGGGCTTAGTTGTGAATGAAATCTGGTTGTGCCAAGAAGACTACAGCATGGGATGAGATTGCCTGAGCACAGAGCCCACCATGCACATACAGCAAACACCTTGGCACAAAGGCACTGTGGAACAGCAGCAAAGTGCAGCCTGGGATGGCTGCAGCAGCTCTGCTTCCTACCCACTCCCTCTGAGCACAAGTCAAACTCTGCTCAGGATAAGCTTGCTCTGTTGAAAATGATTGGGAAGTCGATGGCTGAGTTGAAATAAGTTGCCTTGGCTGCACAGCTGCCTGTGTAGGACAGCAGCTGCAGGAACAGACCCAGGTCCTGCAGCAGACATGGGCCTGTCTGCTTTGGATGGTCCCACGTGTGGCCACGTCCTGTCATCATTTCCAGGCAACTGTCCCACTCTGAGGTCTTGCAGTGATAGTGTTGCTGCTTTCCACAGCCATAATCAAACAAATGATCAATAGATTTAAAAAAAAAGGGGGGACATTTCATCAGTTGCCTTTTTTGACATCTGGGATCTGTCATCATGCAAATCTGGATCATTTAATTGGCCAAAAGAGTCTCTTGATTGTCAAAACCTCATATATATATTATCATCCAAAAGAAATTAGTAAGAGCTTCAAGGCTGTTTCCCTTGGAAGGTAACACAGGAGGCTCTGGGGAGCATGGCTGTATTAGCAAGTCAGGACAAAGTGCGAGGCTGCACAGGGCTGACAGCAGCCCTGGTATTTAACTCCTGTGCTGTCCTTGGCTGTGCCCCCAGCCCTGCTTTGGGACAGAGCTGGGGCCATTGAGTGGAGCCACATGATGGCCTGTTGCTGGTGTTAGGCAGTTGTGCAATCAGGTCTAGCTAGACAGATCATGCCACTACCCTTGATAAGAAAAAGGCATTTTTGGAGCAGTCCTGGCATTCCTGGCCACTGCATCTTTACAGGAGTGGTATTTTGAAGTCTGCCATTTCAGACCAAGAAAGTAAAGCCTCCCCTAGGTGTTTGCAGAGCACCCTGAAAGCTGGGGGTGCAGTGAGCCTCACACTTCAGTGCCCAGCTCCCAAGCACTCTGTAGCCCTGAAGCAAGCAGTACTAATGAACAAAGAGCCTGCAAACAGGGACAGCTCTGAGAGCAAGTTTCATAATCACTGTCCCCCTCTGGGAAAGGCAGTCCCAAACCAGTCAGCCTTTCCAGAGAGATCCAGCATCTTTTGTCCATTTGGACAGAAGACAAGACCAAATGACAGGCTCTCCTGTGGGGAAGGTTTTGCAGGTCCTCTGAAGCTGCTTCTTGCTGCTGCTGAGTTTAAACTCAGGGTGAAGCATGGAGGGTGTGAAGGAAAAGAGCAAATGAAACCACTTCCTTCCCCTTGAGAGCCTATTCCTCTGCACTCATGTTGCTTTTAGGCAGAGGAAAAATTATGCACTGAAAATGGGGAATCTGACTTGTCTCCTGTGGCAAGCATCCATTTCAGGTGAGATTCTTCCAGCAGAGGAAGGATTGGATTCTGGGGAAAGAAGAGGCATGTTCCTAGGGAGTGGTGGGTGGTCCCAGGGCCCAGTGGTTCTGTGTGCCTCCATCCACTTGCCAAAGAGCATTTGGAGGTGCTGATGCTGAGCAGGCTGATGTGGCAGTCCTGGCTCTCCCACTTCTCAGAGCAGATGACAGCTGTGCTGTGACACAGATTGTGTGATCTCCTAACAATGCTCCTCCTATGCAGGGAGTCACAGGCCATGGCCCTCATCCTCCTCCATCTGGTCACTCTCAGTTCCTGCCTTTGGCAGCTCCAGCCCCTGTGTGCTCTCCTCTTTCAGGATGTCTCACTTCTCACCTCCACCAGGATCTCCCTGCCTGGGCTCCTTAGCCAGTCCCAGCTCTCTTTGTCCATTATTTGTCAGTCCTGTCTCACCTCACTGTACCTTCCTTTCCCTGGTCCTTTCATCACTCTTACCTATTCCCAGCTCCTTCCCCATCCTGATTTTCTCTTGTGGCCTAGATAGAGAGCAGTAGACAGACACCTTGCCCCACTTGTTCTTCCCCACTGTAGTCTAGCTTTCATCTGCTCTGCTTTCAAGTCAGTTCATCCTCCCAAAGAGTGCAGGTGAGGTCATGAAGCACTGAACTGGAAAGCACAAACCACTTTTCTTGGTTTTTTGCTAATTCCTGGTCAAGAGGCTGAATTGTGGCTGATATGTCACTGTAGGTGGGGAATTTCAGCTCAAGCAGGGGGAGGTTTGTGGAGCTGGCAGTGCTTGGGAAAAGGCTCTCTCTGTAGGCAGGGTCAGTTCTACCTTTGTCTGGCCCCCTCTGCTCTCAGACTTACTTTTGCACTGACATTTTTACTTTCCACATCATCACTGTGTCCAGCTCCATTTACACTGGCTGGGCTTGCCAATGTGATGCTTTGGCTTTTGCCACCTTCCCAGGTCTGTCCACTCCTGCAGGGTTAGCCTGGTACCATCAGGTTTCTGGCAGGGACTGATCCACCCAGGGAGGACAGGCACGTGGCAGGATTTGCCTGTGGATGCAGTGGGGCCCTCCTGCTGAATGCTTGGGTTATGTTTTGCTCAGCAGTCAGATTTGAAGCAGGGAATCAAGAAGCCCATCCTGATAAATTCTGTTCAAGTGCAGAGTCACTGCCTGTGTTGCTGATCTGTTCTGCAGCAAGGCACCAGCCTTTCAGGCACACTGAGCATCACAGCTCTCAAATTTACAGCTGTCCAAAACAAATGTGTAAACTCAATGGAGTTTGTTTATTTAATTCTGCTTTATAATACACTTAACTTGATACCAAGTAAAAGAAATAATCTGGCAAAGACATCATTAAACAGTTTAATAAGGACTGGATGACTCATTCTGTTTGAACAAATGGATTATTTTGCAATCAGAAGTACAAATGTTAACCAGCTTTATTTTTAGTTGAAAATGTCAAGAGGTCAGAAACAATTAAAGCAATTGTAAGGTGGGAGTACCCAGGGTTTGTGTTCTTTTGGATTTGCACCTTACTAAAATTGCTTTTATTGCAGCTTAGCAACTTAGCAACATTTTTCTGATAAGATAATGGGAATGACTGTGTAGGCACATTTACTGGTAAGAAGAGATTAGAGACAAACAGAAATGGAGCACACTTTTCATTTTAATAGCAAGAGTTGAAAAACTGCGAGGATCTGCTTTTTCCTTCCAGGATTTGAAATTTAGTGGTTATATTTTAAAAGAAACATCTGACCTGTTTAGGACTTTCTCATCAGCTCAAAATTCAATGTTTGGAATATCAGCCACAAGCTATTTAATGTTCAAAGTTTCACTTTGAAAGTTGATCATGTTTAGAGAGAAGTTTTTAGTGCAAAGTGAAGCTACCTGGATTTCAGCTCAGAAACAGGAGAGCTTTGAGAGCAGACACTGTGGGCATCAGGAGGCACTGTCCCTAGCAAGGCATGTGCTAAGAAGGTTGGAGGCAAATCCAGGGAAGAATGTTCTTTTTACTGCTCCTGCTCTCAGGGGGTTGACATTTACTGCCCCCATAGAATGAAGCTTTAAATGCAAAAAAAAAAAAAGAGAAATTTTAAGTGTAAAAAAAGGCAAAGAGAAGCTACCTGAATTTCAGCTCAGAAACAGGAGAGCTTTGAGAGCAGACACTGTGGGCATCAGGAGGCACTGTCCCTAGCAAGGCATGTGCTAAGAAGGTTGGAGGTAAATCCAGGGAAGAATGTTCTTTTTACTGCTCCTGCTGTCAGGGGGTTGAGATTTCCTGGCCCCATGGAATGACACAGCACGGGCTCCCTGCTGCAGCACCTTGCTCAGACTGTCCTTGATGTGCCCACTGCAGCACCTGAGGGGCCACCCCCAAGCCTGTGTGAGCCCAGGAGGGTGGCAGGGCCCAGGGGGAACTGGAGCCTGCAGAGCCCCAGGGGCTGGTGCTGACAATTCCTGCTTGCAGAGTGATGCTCTGCTCTACCTTGTGCCCTCCTGCTGCTGCCTGGGTGCTCCTCATGCCACCTGAGCCCTTGGTGACCTTGGTGTGCTCCTGTGCAGGTGCGGATCGAGGACGACATCGTGGTGACAGCCACGGGCATGGAGCTGCTCACCTGTGTCCCACGGACCGTGCAGGAGATCGAGGCTTTCATGGCAGAAGGCCAGAGCTGTGCCAAAGCATTTGGCTGCCTCTCCAGCCCAAAGCAGTAAACTTCAGGGTGATACTTACTGCCTCAACTAATCAGTCATCATTCTGATTTAATGCTGCAGCATAGAAAATAAAATGCATCCAATTCTTAATAGCAAGAAAATCAGCAGTTTACGTGACCAAGTGGCAGCCAAATAACCCTGCTGCCTTGTCAGGGGGGCTCATACTTCTGTCAGATCTCAGCTCAGATGTATCTTGCAATTAAATCTGAATTTTGATGATTGGGACTCTAAAACACCAAATGGATTATCTGAAAGCTATGAGCAATTGTAACACTCTTAAGTCCTTTTTTAAACTTCATCACAAGTACTGTGAAAAACAGAAATAAAAATCAGTTGTTCTCAGTGGACATAATGACATTTTTCTTATGGATCTGTATCCATGTACTAAGCAGAAACAAATTTTTATTAAAATTCACCTTGGCATCATTTGTGTTCACAACTTTGTGGTCATTTTACTTTTCTGCTCCAGTTCCTGCTTCTTTATCTGACCCTACTACCAATTGGTGCCCTGCAAACTTTGACCCTTCTCTAGCCAGAGTTCTCTGCTCTGGACAGTGGCTGTACTGATCCTTCAAACACATCTCCATGCTCATTAGATTTGTTCATCTATTTGTTCCTTAAAAACACAGATTGCTGTGGTGTTCATGACCCCTAAAAGTTGAAAGAAGGGAATGTCTTTGCTGCAGGGCTCATGGTCATTCAGCAACATATGCTGTGCAGCATGGTAGAGTTATTTTTAACTGTTCAGTGTTACACAGTTCAGAATGAAATAATGTAAATCTTATTTGGATACCTTACAAACATATTGGTACTAGTCACAAAATTATTTTCCACTCATGCAAGATTTAAATTACTGAGAGAAGCTTTTCTTTACTGAAGGTATTCATCAGCTTGCAGGATAATACATACATTTCTTACATCATAAAATAGCACCATGTGCTGGTAACTGCATAAAAGTAAGCTTTCTCACTCTACATACACATCAAAACTCCTGTTCAATATTCAGATTCTGTTGCAGTTTGACTGCAAAGCCACTTCAGAACATCCCTCTGCTGTGCCAGGAGGAGCTGAAGCCACAGCAGAGCATCAGGGCCTTTCTGGGTCTCAGTGCCTGCCCGGTGAGGGTTTCCCACTGAAGGGATCAGCTGAGCCCGTGCCTCAGCACCTGGGTGTGAGCAGCTCAGCTCTGTGGCTCACACAGGACTGACCATGGCTGATGGGAGGGACTGGGAGCTCCCTGTGCCACCTGGGGGCTTGGGTGGTGCCAGGAACCACTGCCACTGCCACTGCCTTGCCAGTACAGAACTGCAGGGACACCCGACGGGGAGAGAATGATGCACCTGACTCCATCTTATCAGAAGGCTAATTAATTACTTTATTATACTATATTATTCTATACTATGTTACATTACATCCAAACTGAACCTGCCAAGCACTCAACTGCACGCCCTGCACAGAATCTTGTGACTGTCCCCCAACACTCCCAACACACACACAGAGCTGGCCCTGACAGGCCAAGGAAACAAAACACCATCACTTTGGGTAAACAATCTCCATATTGCATTCTACTTTGGCACAACACAGGCACAGCAAATGAGATAAGAATTGTTTTTCCTTTCTCTGAGGTTCAGAGAATGTGAATCCCAGCAATATTCTTGGGAAGAATTGTGCCTTGCTTTTCTCTGGGAAGAGAAATGTGGCGACACCCCAGCACCGGATTTAGGCCTGAAACAATTTCCTCAAGAATCCTCATGTACATTGCTCCAGGAGACCTCCTCCTGCTGAGCAGGTTGGTCTGTGTGACAAGAACCTGCCCTTTATTCCCAACAGCCTGGAGATCCATTGCTATGGAGGAAACTTCATGTGGGAGACCAAAGAAACGTTGTGAAATGATCCAGAAGACTTCATTCACATCACTCAATTAATAAATAAGCCTATTTACATTTTTTAGAGGTTTCTTGACAGAGACCAGTGCACGAATTGCTGCCCTTAACTTCTTGACTGTGAAGGGAAACAGTTTTTTCGGGAAAGGAGATTGTGAGATCAGAAGCTTGTATGTGCTGCTGCACTGATGTTCCTGCTGTGGTGACCGTAATGTTCCACCTCTGAATTCTGTTACCTGCACAAGGACATCAGGCTTTGCTTGGTGGCCTTGCAGATATGAGAACACAGAGACTATACTGGCATTGCTCTGAACTCATCTGCCCCAAAACTCTGGTTTTTTCAGTGCAAAACAGTGCTTGTGGCCCCAGCCCAGTTCCCTCCACAGCCAAGAGTTGTCCTGTGGTGTGGGAACCCAGCACATCCCTCTGGCTGTCCAGGACACCCAGGATCCCTGCCCAGGGGCTCAGAGACCCTGGCACAGAGCCCAGAACACCTGTGGGTTTGATTATGACCCATAGAGCAAATTACCAGCCTTAGATGAAGATCAGCAAGCCACAACAGTTTAGGTAGAATGATAGTGAAGTTATCACGGGGTGGAGAAGTCGATTTTGGGGTTTTTGGTATGGGGGTTCAGGAGGCAAGATGGAGGGAACTGGGTGTGTCCAGCCTTTCTCCTTCTTCTTCTTCTTGGCCTCCATCTTCTGCTGTGATGGTGGCACTCACAGATGGGTTTAGAGTAGAAGCTCAGTGTCTAACACAGGTGATGGGTATTGGGAAGGAATTGTAAACATTGTACAGGTAGGTTTTAGTATAAAGACATAACCCTGCCCTGGGGGCAGGCAGAGTGCCTGGAACTGTCCTGCTGGATGGGCCTGGCAGGGCAGGAGAAAGAATTTTATAGATAAGGAACAATGAACAACCTTGAGACCAAGAAATGAAGAGCCCTGACTGCTTCTTCAAGCACTGGACTGGGAAAAGAGACTTTGAACAATCTCAGGGTCACTCTGAGCAGCAAGAGATCCTGACACTGTGGCAGGTTCTGAACATGCCAGGGGATGATGATGATGATGATGATGATGATGATGATGATGATGATGATGGTTCACTGCTGTGGGCACTGAACCCTGCTGCTGCTGCTGCTGTTTTATAGTAGCACAGCCAGATGAGGAAAGGAGGAGAGCTCTGGAGCTGTTGCAGCTGGGAGGCCCCCCCGGGCTGCGCTGGGCGCTGGCAGAGCCGGAGCGGGGCCGGGCCGCAGAACAGGTCGGGCAGGGAGGAGGCAGAGCCGGTTCTGGCCTGGGCGCGGCCGCTCGGAGCCGCCGGGCCCGGGCAGCGCCCAGCGCCCCCCCCGAGGCAGGCGGGGACGCTCGGGCTCTGCTGGGCATGGGGCACCCTCGCCCCACTGCCCTCCATCATCAGGCCCACGGACTGGGGGATGTCAATGCCGTCCTTCATTCCAGATTGTTCTGCAATTATGATCATTTTTATCCACTTAAGCAAAAAGTGAATTAAACATTTTTTTCCTAAATTGGGGAGGGGAGGGGGAATAAACCTTTTTTTAAAAGGCAAAGTGATATTTAATACTTTAAAAAGTGGTGTTTAATAATTTTAAGTGTATTAATGGGGTGAAAGTACAGGTTATGGCGAATTTTCTTTTTGACTACATCAAGATGTTTTATTCTCTGTCATGTTTTCCCAAATGCCTTTTCCCCTTGGCACAAACAGACTTGAATAGAGTTGGCACTGAAGTAACAGAATGTGTCTTATGCCGAGCAAATTTGTGTGTTTTAGAAACGTCTGAGCACTTCTGAAAGGATACATGTAAATTGTCCCAGCAAATTGCTGGAGCTCCCTGGGGTTGGGTGCACTCTGAATTTACCTGCTGATTACCCTGCTGCAGCTACAGGGGGTGTTCCAGGAGTGCAGCCTCCCTGGGGGCTGGAGCAGACCCCGTCCCTTGGGGGACAATGAGAAAATGGGAATCAGCTTTCCTGGGAAATGTGCTGTAACTCCTTGTGTACTGACAGGCACTGGATCCTGCCACAGACTGGAGCTAAGAATCATGAGTCAAAAGGAAAATCTTTTAACTTTTATAGGTCCACAGTGAAATTTTCTGTGCCCTGCAGCAGAGGGTGAGATGGAGGTACTCTGCTGCCACAGGGCCTGGGCTGCTTCACCCTGGGGGAACCTACCCTTGCTCCTTGGAGCTGCTTTGGCAGGGGGGGCTTGCAATAAGCCTGAGCCCTTTCTTGCAGCCTGTCCCTGGGGCATGTTTAAACCTGGATTTGTTCCAATCTCGAGTGAGGTCCTGCACAGAGCCATTGCTCCTCCTGGGCCTTGTCCTGCTGCCAGCCAAGGACGAGCATCATTGTCCCAGTGCCAGTCAAGGACAGGGATCCTTGTTCCAGTGTCAGCCAAGGCCAGGGATCCTTGTCCTGGTGTCACCAAGTCAGGGATCATTGTCAGCCAAGGCCAGAAATCTTTATCCCACTGTCCCCAAAGCCAGGGATCGCTGGCCCACTGTCCCCAAGGCCAGAGATCTTTGTCCCAGTGTCCCCAAAGCCAGGGGTCCTTGTCCTGCTGTGCCCAAGGGCAGGGTTGCTGTCCCACTGTCCCCAAGGGCAGGGCTGTCCCCAGCTGTGCCCAGTGGGGGGACAAGACCAAGGTGCTGTGCAGAGGCCAGCCGTGTCCCTGTCAGGCTCTGAGCGCTGTGGCCATCGCCCTCCGTCACACGCTGCTGTCACTGGTGGTGTCACTGTCATTGGTGGTGTCACTGTCATTGGTGGTGTCACTGTCATTGGTGGTGTCACTGTCACTGATTGGTTTCTCATCTGGTTGTTGTTAAATTGTGAATTGTTCCAGTAACAGTGAATTGTGATCTCAACCCCTAATCTGCGTGTGGGCTCTCTCACCTGAGGGTTGGGGGACAGGAGTGGCTGTGGGGTTTATTTTCCACTTGGGCTTAAACCACAGCATCAGTAAAAAAACAGTGCACTGATAAACCAGAAATTTCATTTTCCAAACAAATTGCTTTTATAACTCAGTGGTTTGGTTTTAAACATGAAGGAAAAGGGATCAGAGATGTCGGGAGCAACAGGTGGAGAAGTCACCCGTGAGAGCTTTGGAAAGAGGATCACCCTCACTCAGGAGAGAGCCAAGAAATCATTTCCACCAAAATCACAAACAAACAGCCAAGGTTTGCAGCTGCTGTTCAGACTAGTAGAGGAGGGCCCCACAGCAGCCTGGCAAACCAACTTCAGGACAAGGGGCCAGCCAGCCCCAGGGCAGGTCAGAGATCCAGGGAAGAGATCAGCCTGGCCTTTCCACCAGGGACGTGCAGGTAACAAAGGAGATGCCTTCAGGTCATCTTTTCCCTTGGAATTTTTGGTGTTCTGCTTCTCTCCCCACCTCCCATCTAAATGCAATACATTTTCAGTCTTAAATTCCTTTTCTTTTTTTTTCTTTTGGCCTTTTTTGTTAAATCAGACATTTAGACAAAACTGTAGTGAGTTTCTGATGGCTTCCATGGAGCAGAAACCTGA